CTATTTTAGTAGACCTCTCTCTCTCTCTCTCTCTCTCTCTCTCTCTCTACTTGCCAATGCCTTTGCTTTTAGCTTCCTATTTTAGTAGACCTCTCTCTCTCTCTCTCTCTCTCTCTCTCTCTCTCTGTGTGCCGTTTTATTTCTTTGTTTTTCTTTTTTCGTTTTTCTTTTTATAAGTAGAACGTAGCTCCCTTTTTTTTTTTTTGCTTTTTCTTTGTTGTTTTTGTTCTTAGTACTTTACAAATGAACACTCTCCCGCCAGGGGCCAGGCTCGGCTTACCGGTAGCATGAGGCTCGGCATTGATAGCTGGGCCAAGTACTGGTTGTTTAAACCACCCACTACCTTTCTCAGTGTATACTTACGCTAAGCCCTCGAAGTCGCGAAGTAGCATTTGGGCGTCTGGATAGAGTCTGGAGTCCTCATCTGGCCAGTGGCCACTGATTTTGCTACTTTTCAATTTTGAGGCGCTATTAGTAGTGTGAGTATGTCTGCACTCAGTGTTGGGAAAAGTGGGGAAGATATCACATACCGCGAATGTAGGAGGTCCTGAGGAGGCTTGGCAGGAAGGGGACAAATAAAGAAAAGATTGGGATGCTACGGGCGCACCGTGAGGGAAAAAAGAATGAAAGAAAGAACACTAAGATGTTTGAATCCAGTCCAGTTGATGTGGCTCAGTGGTTAGAGCACCGGTTGGAAATGCGCATTGTGGTATGAGGTTGCCGGTTCAAAACTCAATTGCAACCTTGCGCATGGACACCGGCAGGGCGTTAGATTGATGCACGGCTGGACACCGTGACATTCCCTTGGGCTGACGCATGATACTATTACAGACACTGCCTGCGCACCACCCAAGGGTTGTTCAACATCATGGTGTTGTATGTTGGTTCTGGGTTTCACTTGGGTTGCTTGGGGGTGTTGGTCTTGGGTGTTCTGTTGATCTCCCCGGTATGGCATATCACTCGTTCGTGCCATTTCCACTAGCTGTTCACATGGTAGAGTCATAGGATTACATGTTTACAAGGTCATGGGTTCGAGCTTGTGGCTCGGATCGTGGGGGGTGCCTTGTCCAGCTCACCCCGTTCTCTCTTCGATATATGCACATCATGCATGCCTATACATCTCGATACATTGATTCACAGAGCACACACAGCCTTCGGGCATATACATAGCTTGCGAATTAGACATGGCCTACGGGCTACATACATAAGTTTCCACACATAGTGCTGTCTGTACATCTTCATGCATAGATACATGAAGCATACTCAGCCTTCGGGTATGCACATACATTTCGAACTACACAACTATCAGACTGGGGGGGTCTAGTCACTGGGTGGGGTCTAGTATCTGCGGTAGGGACAGGTATGGGCCACCGGAGTTCCTACTGATATTCGGGTAGAACTGTCTAGTGGCTATATATAAGGCTTAGACCCTGGCGTAAGGGTTGGGGTATAAGTCGCTCAGGCCAGTCCGAGTTCCGCCTGGCCTTGGGTAAGCTACGGGAAGGACAATAAGACTGCTTCAATGGGTGCTACACTGTCTGAGACCTAGGGCCCAGAGTCTCTTGGGGCCTGTAGTAGATTGTCTGGGCCTGGCGTCTGAACTTCCAGTTCGACAAGGCTTGTCCGGTTCCGCTTCCACCAGGACAGGGCTGGGCAACCTGTCAGCCCTGGTGCCTATCACTGCTGTTCAGGCCAAGGTTGCCTGGCAGTGCCCATTGGTAGGGTAATGGTCCTGAGTGCTGGTCACACTGAGGTAGGATAGTGGGATAGGGGGTGCGCTAGGAGTATTGACATGAGCATGGGATGGGAGGTGGTCTCATATTCCAGGACACCCACGGCTTACTGCTCCAGGTGATCACTGTGTACACAGTGACTGGCCTCTACAACACCATGGACTCCAGAGACGTCGGGGAAGGCCCTCACGGGGCCAAGTCCCGCTTACCCTGATTCTTCATTTGTGGCGGCTGATCATCATGATTGTAATCTACGGTCAGAAATTGACAATTGGGGTAAGTGGGACTTGGCCCACGGAGGTGGAAGTGACAGCAGACCACAGTCTGAGACCGTCGAGAAAATCTTACTTTTCTTTTTTTTTTTCCAAATTGAATGCACATCAGATAAAACTTTTAAAAAAAATAAAAAAAAATAAATATCTTATACCGGCAGATGATGAATACTGATGGAGTGTTCATACATATGAGCATTTATTTGAATATCCTATACACGGGTGATGTGAATTAGACTCCAAGAGAGCCCATGGACGGTCTTCACGTAGCAATACGACCATTCATTATATGTCGTTGCATCTGGACTGAATGGTTGCCCAAGTACAGCTATAATTACCATGCATTCTATTCAGCTGAAGAAGCTAGTAGTTTCCAAATCCCTAGCGGGGTTGCTCATCAGATGAGACTATTTATGAAAAAGCTTAGCCTAGTAATATGTGACAATGGAAGGGTATTCGGGTTTGATCATCCTCCTGTTCACATAAAAACGACCAGATACATCCAAATTGATCCAATAGAGTGCCCTGGGGTCCTTTAGGACTCCCAATGCTCAACATGGTATGTTGCACACAGAAACAAAAAAATTGTCCCAAAGGGGTTCAAAAAAAAAAAAATCTCAATTTGGGCGCGCAAGTTTTCTTATTTTTCCAAATTTAATGAAATATCAGTTCATGCTAGCCTCCAAAGGCGATTTGGTTATTGGGTGGATACAGGAAACTGTACCACCTACCGAACAGATCCTCCGGCAGGTCCCATCCTGGGGCTGCATCCCACCGGGCAATTTCATTATTTGTAGATCAGAGGAAGTGTGGCACCTACGCAACAGATCCTGGGGCCGGGTCCCACCCTCGGGCTGGGTCCCACCTGTGTCCTTGCCTCAATGGTGGGTCTTCAAGCGCATGTGGCATTTCGTTTCTTTTTAGATTTATTTTCCAGCACATTTTGACTCCATGGTTTGGGGGGGAAATCGTGGCTTCCGTTGACCCATCTATTTGAGATAGGGCCTGGACTCAGCACATGCGTAAAAGATGAAAAATATGGCGGCGGCGTATATTTCCATGTTCTAACGCAAGATTCATTCTCATTTTGCACATAGTGTGGATACTGGCGTGAGGCAACATAGTTCAGTGGAGATTGGAAATCATAGAGTTTATGACGAGTTAATAACAGCTCACACTTTCTTTATGATCTGTGCTCCGCTGTGCTACACACACACACACACACACACACACACACACACACACACACACACAGAGAGAGAGAGAGAGAGAGAGAGAGAGAGAGAGAGAGAGAGA